AAGATATAAATATAAGATTTAGAGTAATAAAATAAAAGTGAGATAATTATATGATTGAATAAAAAATAATAATAATCAGATATAAATTATAAAAATTAAGAAAAAGAGAATTTTGTATAATTAAAGAAAGATTATTGAATTAAAAAAATTTATATTACTATAGTAATAGTAAGCAATAGTCAACTTATTCAAATTTGGCTTTAATTCAAATTCAGATTTCTCTGATATATCAAAAAAATGATTATTTCAAATTTTCAAAAATTCTACTTATAAATATAATATATATTATTAAAAAATACTAATCTTTCACAGTAATAACAATAAGATTAATTTAATAAAAGTTAGTAAAGTCAATAAATAAATAGAAAAACAGTATTATAATAAATATAAATTATCTTAAAAGAATTATTAACAAATTGATATAAAAAAATTAATATCTAAATTTACAAATGATATAAATAAATTTATTGATATAATTCTTAAATAAAGTAATTATTACTAAATTTTATGCTAGAATCACAATACTAAGAAGAAAAATAAAAGCATTATCAAATTGCACTAATTCAAAAGTAATAATATTCAATTAAGCAAAAAATCAATTTGTTTATATGAGAAATATATAATAAAACAAAGAAATTATTACTTATTATAACTTTATTATTAGTATTAATATAATACTGAATGGAGAAGTTAATAATACTAACAGATAATGAATAAGATATTTAAAACAAGTCATTCAGATGCTAATAGCTAAATAAAAGATAAATCAAAGAGTGAAATAAAATATTATTATGATAAAATAAAATATATAATAAAGTGTTATTATATTAAATAAGCAGATTAACAAATAGATTGTGCATCTAATTAAAGTAGCTGAAATAATGTATTTCAATATAATCAATCTATTTCTCTAAATAATACCAATAATTGATTATTACCAATTAAATAGGAACTGAAAAATCAATAAATGATGAAATATAATCAATAATTAAATTAATATCAGTAGCAAAGCAATTAAATGCAAATAATTATTTTCTAAAATCTAATCTAATAAATGATATCAGCATATATTAGATTCATTTCTCTTATTTCATTTGAGAACTCCATATTTTTAAATATAATTTGTTTTCTGGTTTGTGTTCTAAATTCAAATAGATTTGTTAAGTATTGATTACAAAAGAGGGAAGAATAATTCAGATTTTAATAAGTCAATTTGAGAATTGTGATTTGGATGTCTAATTTTAATTATAATATTAATTTATATAATGCTTTTTCTAGTTCAAATATTTTTTATTATGAATATTACAAGTCTTAATGATAGAATTGCTAAATTATTTATTTTTATCAGATAAATTAAATAAAATCATATTTAATTTATTATTGTATGATTTCGAGCTTGGAGTTATAACACACTTAGGATCAAAAGATCAGAGAATTAAAGATTAAATCAATCATGTGCTTGTGATCATAAGCCATATATATCATGTGTTTGTGATATATAAGTCACATATTCGAATTTTTTTTGGTGATTACGCTGAGGGAGTTGTCTAAAGCCTGGTCCATCACGTGATATATGACTATATAATTAAAGATTGATTTTAAGCTTAGGGTTAGAGTTGTGATCAAGATTATACAGTGAACGCTCGTTACAATAACACTCTTTAAGATGACATCTCGTTATACTAACACAAAATCTCTTCCCCCGATCTCATAATAAGCTTTCATAGTATTTATTTTTTAGATAGAGTAACATCTCGATATAATAACACCAAATCTCTTTCCCCGATCACGTTATTGTATCGGGCGCTCACTGTATATAAAATTGCCTTCCCGACATTTTTGTTTTGCCGAGTTGATCAAAAATTTACACTTCCTTATTGGTTTGTGTTTCGGACTGATTATCGGATGGACCAGGCTTAGGCATGCCCCGTTATTGGTTTCGAGATCGTCAACTTAATTGGAGATTGACTAAAAAAACTAAATTTAATTTCAAATGATACAGGTGCTTGTTATTTCTAAACATAAATAGTATTGATACTTACAGTATAGTTATTAAAGTTAGGCTCTAAAGTGTCAGTTTGTATGTTCCAAATGGAACACATGAAGGTAAATCAACTATTTTTTCTTTGGTATGCAAAACAGATTCCGATCTTAGTATACCATTTGAAAAATTTCGAGAAAATTTACAAATTAATGAAAGAATAATGTTGTTCTTTGTTAGAAGAAAATGGTAACTACAGTCATACCTCATCCTCTACAATCACACCTTCTCCTGGTTCCAGCTATGAGGAATAAGAAATTTGAGTTCTATACAGTCACAACCTCATTTAAATCACACTTTTTTCTGGTCCTAAGGTGTGAATATATGGAGGTGTAACGATAAAAATTTTATCTTCTCAATTATTAGAATCTAAGATCGTGAACCTGAAATTAATAACGGAATTAAACTCTTAATTTCAGTCCATAAGAAATATCAATTTTAGATCAATCATTCAGTTATATGTACGTAATCACGAATGTATACACGTAAAATAAGAAAATCTTAATCCAAAATATAAAACTAAAAAAACAATCCAAGCTGAGTTTTTGTAATTTAACTCCATCTAACTCAATTTTAAAAAATGATGTTAGATATTCTGAGGATTTGAGAATAACTGCTCAAAGATCAGATTTAGCATATCGTAAATTGCCGTTAATAAGCATCACCCTATTTCAACCCAAAAATAGTAAAACAATCAACAAGCACCACTAAATTTAAATTTCAAAAAATATCTAAATTCGCTTTAAATGGCGATAATTTTAGATTGGGTAAAAAATGTCAGAAACGAGTACCACCCCGTTTTTAAAACCAAAAAAGTGATACTTATTTACAGCAGTTTACGATAGAAATGTTACAATTAGCTGAAATGATCTGTGGTATTTCATTTTCAGTTTTAATATAGTTGCTTAGTCTCAATCCTAAGCTTTTTCAAAAATCCCAAAAAGTAAACTACTACAAAAACTTACTCGTTAATTAGGATATCAGAGCTTACAAACTATAATTCATTTGTGCAAAAATGACAATTCATAATATTCATAATGAGCTAATGTTAAATGAATGCATCGTTACTGAATCTCATGGCATAAGATAACAAACTACAAAAAGTAATCAATTGTAATTCAAAAATCATTTTGTAATTCTTTAGCCTCACTTTGTATTCATATGGTCAATTTTAATGCATATTAAAATTAGAGAAATTTGTATTCAAAATAGATATTAACAAGTTTATATTTGAATATTTAGTGATTAAGCAAATAATCGTGCACATTTTAGGTTCCTTTGTTAATCCTGATAAAAACAAGACATTTTTACATTGAGTTTTAAAATCAAAAACTTATTTAAAGATTAATCTTAAATTGACTTTCTCCTAAAATTGGCATTCAACTTTAGTATTAGTGAGCAACAAAACTACGTATTTTATTTTCATCTTCCTTATTATCTCCCGTAAAGACTGTTTGGGAGCAATAAAATTCAGCAAAGTTTTGATTTGATATTATTACTTTAATGAGTAGAAAATGAATTGGTATAATAGTGGTTGCTTTGGCAAATCTCTAGGGGAATTCAAGATTTCTAACAATTTTATTGAGATCATATGGTTTTATCTTAAATTCAATAAATTATTAAATTATTAAACTCGTTAGGAAATTCAGAATTCTCTAAAAATTCAGTATGATTCCTTCATTATTAAAATTAATAACCAATCAAGCTGAAAAATTGATCATGGTTAATTTTTACTGTTTTTTAATACAAGTTTTTATGTACTAATAAGAAAAATTAAGGATTTTTTAGAGCTAATAAAATGTGCAATCCATCTTTTTGGATCTAGTTATATTATCGTTATTGGCTGATCATGATAAGGAACGTAAATTTCTGCATTAAAAAAGATATTTTCAATATCAACACAACAAACAAATATACAAAGTTCATTCGACAATTTGGAAATAAAGTCAACTTCCTCACTGGTAGAAAAGGGTTGGTAGTGGTATTTTTTGGTGAACTTCTAGAGGAATTCCGAATTTCCTATGATTTTCCTCTAAATTCAATTAATTATTAGAAATTTATTAGAGAATTTCGGAATTCCTCTAGAATTTCACCAAAAAAAACTAATGTACACCTTTTTCTATCAGTGCCTAGATGCAATTTGCCAGGATGATATGACTAATCAGAATGGACATGCATTCGAAAGAGTATACATTTATGGAGGTTACATTTAGAGTTGACTATAGCAAAAACAACAATATACGTATTGACCACTTCACCACATAATATTAAGTGTGAACTACGTAAAATTATTTAGCTCTGCCCACAGAACTAAGTTGATATCTTATTTTGATAGCAGGTTTAACAAGATTATTCAATTTGATCATCTATAAAAGTGTGATTTAGAGCAGGGTTTCTCAGTGACTGGGCAAAAATAGATTGAAAATGGGTGAAAGTTGATCTAATATTAAGAAAGTATTGTTAAACAATATATTGAATCAATACAATAAATGTTTATCGTTACTGTAAACTGATAAAATGCTAAAACGATGGGCGAATGTTTCATTTAGAAGAATTTTCTGATCTTAATCGTTTAAGCTGTGGTTAGTTTTACGTCTTCTTGTATTTTAACTTATTCGTATATAGGTTTTATAAAGGGATTTGTACTGGGTTCCAGAATTTATGCCTCAATACTTTCAAACATCTACATATTTCATACTTCACGATAAGTACGTAGTTGGAACCGGGAAACAGTGTAATTGTGGAGAGGTGTGACTATATAAGGGTGATTATATGTAGGGACAACTGCACTTCTGAGTGTGTAGTTTACTTCAATATTATGCCAGCATTTACTAATTTAACTTCATAATAAATATATCCAAAAATAGCATGATAAACTGATAGTTTTAATACCAATACTGTAATTACAAAGTATAATCATTTACACTACGGAATTTTGAGAATTCTCTGTTTGTAAGGGCTAAAATGCCTCGCTCGGATCCGGAATTGTCTCCGTAGAATATGCAGACTCAAAATATGGAAAGTCCGAGGATGTTTCCGAACTAGATCCAACTAACGTATGCGTTGCTAAAGATTGCAAATTTTCCGGAGCGTATGCAAGAACAAATGTTGATGCAGGTGTATCAAATAAACCCAATTGAGTTGATTTTAAGACCGCCGAATCGGAATAGCCTCGTTGTCTCCGTTCTGGCGTATATTGAGAACGAGAAAGAGTATCCATGCTTTGGTACTTTTGTCCTCTATTTGAAAAATTAATATTAATTTATTGCATAATTTCAACAAAAAAAAACTAAGTCTCACGCATTTACTTTTTAAAGCTTTTTAATTTATCGTATAACGGAGAAAAAACACTAAAAATCTCATTCTTATGTTCTTTATTTATATGTGAACTGAGTTGTGATATAAAAAGCTGATTATCCTTACTAGATAAAGTGGATAAAGGACAAGATTTTTCGGCACAAAGCAATTTTTTTGACGCTGCGTTTGAAAAACAACTTCTAAATAAGATATATCGGTTGGCCGTTTTTTTCCCGATATTATTAAGATTTTTATTTATGAATTGCGATGTATAAGGTTCTAAGACAAAGTCGTGTTTGCAGTTATCTGAATATTTAAAAGATAGGTTTATCATAGTATCGTTAATAAGGTTAAAAGATATAGATGTCGGTCTTTGAAATTTTGGTGTTTCTTTTTCCATCAAGGCGGTTGGTTGCATTTCATATGTTTGTGGTTTAATGTCAGCCATCATTTTGAAATAATAATAAAAGGAAATATAATCAAGTGAAGAAAAGGTAAAAGGACCTAAAGGAACGACTTCTCGTTTTATATTACAATTTTCTTGAATGAAGAAAATTATCGGTAATTCTCTCCGAAAAAAACCTTACATTAGTACACATATTTGATGATCATTAATTAATAATATTCTAATTTTGGAGATTGCACAAAGAATCTGGTCTTATGATCCTTTCTTTTGCTCCAAACAAAGAGACGTCGGAAAGTACAGTATTACTCCTGAATAACAAGGAAATAACGTAGAAAACAATCCAAGTGGAAAACAAAGTACGTACATGTATTACTGAGTCAATTTCTCCAAGTTACGAATGATTAAAGCGGTCTACGAATACGCTATAAGTAAATAAATTTATGGTCTTATTAGATTCGCCTCAATAAGTCATTTTAATCAGGATAATATTTATCGAATTAGTGCGAATGTTAGTAGTTAGTCATCTTTAAAGCAAAGGATCTTTATACAAAGATCATACAAAAAAAGGAGGCCGCTATTTTGTAGTAAATAGGTCTAGCTACAAAACAGCAGCCCCCTTTTTTTGTATGATCTTTGTATAAAGATCCTTTGCTTTAAAGATGACTAATTTTATTGGCGTCTTTAAGTGTCCTGCACTGTATACTAAAAAAACTGACTGCCATTAATTTTTAGAAAAGCGGATTAATATTTCAGAGTATAAAGTGTTGCATAAATCAAGTGAAGTAATCATAGACAAAATATTAAGCATTTTATGATCCGAAAAAAATAACACATTAATCCGTTGTAACAAATGATATTCTCAGAGATTAAGATATGGCTATAAAAAGTATAGCATTAAAACCAGGTTAGCAGATTCAAAATCTACGTTGTTTTTGTCCGCACAAAATGCTGAAAACACATGGATCAATGTAATATTTTAACTCTATACATGTATATGGGGCCTGAATCTCATAATTAATTTTGGCGTCATATAAATTGTTCAAATTATTTTTGGCAGCCGTGATGATTTGGCACTTTTGTATATATTTTAATAATAACCAAATTAATTACGGCATCTATAAATTATGTTTCTAGATAATTTCTATGAATTTTTTAATTATTTTAATAAGTTAATGCTTTACCCAAACGTGGAGTTCGGCGAATCTAAAAACGTATGCTACTTATTATTGACGTTTATTAAATACGGATTAAAAGTTCTTGTAAGCATGATGTATAAAACCACATTTAGCTACTAAAAAATTCTCTCACAATGATCACATTCCTATAATCCTTCATTTAATTTCTCATTATTAATGTTTAGCATCGTCTAAAATATCCATTCTCTAAAGGTCATCAAGAAACAATATTCCCGATCTTTATCTTTGCTCATTGAATTTCTCTAAAATAGGCTCTAAAGAATTAATCAATTATTCCAGTGTATAATTAAAGGTTACTTTAAAAAGTGGCGCATTAATGTGCTGAGATTCTCATTGAAACAGAGTACTCTTACGAAAATTTTGGAATTTCCATAATTATCAGCATATACAAGAATATTATTTAGAACGAAAAATATCAGTTTCAAATTACAAAAAGGATGGTAGTTTGGCATTGAAACCGTCACCAAATATATTTCAGCGTATTAATTATAATCATTCTTCCTGGGTCTAGAAAAAGTTGATATGTCGACACAAATAATAAAGAAATTATGACTTTTATTTATTGCACGAACAAACGAATTACATATAAAAATGTTTATTAAATATCTCATAGTCGGTAATTAGAAGTCCTTAATATCTGGTCTTGCATTATTGTTGATTGCCCTGTCCAGATACTTGATCCTTGATGTTAATTGCTCATTGATATTTGCAAAAGTTCAGAGATACTTTCAAAAGAAACTTGCCAAAATCTAATAATCAAGGTAAATTTAAATCTAACATTGTCTTTTAGTGTTACTTATTCTTAACACTTTAAATAATTTTTTGAAATAAAAGATCTTACGTGTGAACTTTCCACCCAAATATCAAATACAAGGATATCATCAAGTTTAATAAATATCGATATCGATATGCAATACATGTACGTACTTACCAATATAAAATGTTAAATTCGACGATTCTCCTTTATACCGATCATTTGCACAATATCAGGTGGCGGATGGTCCATCGAAAATGTTCTCGCACCCCATGACCTATACAACCGTATTGTTACCGTAAAACTACCTCGTTTTTCTCAAGAAACTTAATTCAGAACATACACAATATTAACTTTGACTTTGATTTATTGAATCAAATTTCTATGAGCCGCACCATCATGTTCAAGTGGAAAAATCCAATCCATATGATTTATTATCATTTCATAATTCATGTATTTGTATACCAAGTCAATTTAACCTCGAGTCTAACATTAAATCCATCGATCTCATCAATGCATGCTTATGCTGTATAAAAATTAATTTATCAAATTAATCTATCAAGGATAATGTCAATGGACAAGAAATTCGAGCAAAAGTGTAATGCTACTCATTTGAACTAGCATTTAGCATCACGGTACGTACATGTAAATTTTCTAAATAATTTTATTGTCGGAGAAATACGCTAATCAAGAGATGCCCGTCATCGTCATGTGGTACAATGTATGTACATTTTACGTACGTAATTTCATGTTCTATTGCTATGCTGTGCGAATTATTAAGAATAATACGTAATTTATTACATGTATACTCTATAAGAAAAATACGCCTGTCTAAACAAAAATACGGAAAGACTGTAAATGTATCTGATTTTGATTAAAGTGCATAAATTATTAAACTCCTCCGAATAGACCGGTCGGGTTTACTATTCTGATAATACTAAAGCTTTTCTCTCAGTTTTATTAATGCAATACGTACGTAGATAACCATGTACATTCAAAATTTCCCAGAGATACAACATCGTGTTTTGGGATACCACCTTTTTCTTTGCCATTGTTGTCCTTTCCTCGTCATAAATATCTTAGTCAAAATAACCTTGAATCATAACAGAATTAATTTTAATAATATAAAAGATGAATTGTCAAGATAATACTCATTGAAGGGTCTAGAATTTCAGAATTCCAAATAGTTGTCACCAATTCGGCTGTTTTTGTATTTATCGTTATATACATGTACGTACGTAATATTTTACAGTTAAATAAAAATAGCCAAGATCATGAAAAATGTCAAACACGTTTTTTAATGTATTATTGAATAAATATTTAACTATTGGCTTTTAGTTTTCGAACAGGAACACGATACAGTAAGGAGTGTCAGGATAACTTTATAAGTCGACAATATAAGAGCCTCTGTTTTCGAACATATTAAAGCGGGAAGTAGATATCTCGCACAATCAATTTCCATCGGCTCAATATCTAAAGTTGGATTATTTGTCAATTTTCATTTTATAGTTTTGCTTATTTTGAAGCAAACTTGTTTTTATCTCACACAAAGAAAAGAGCAGCCTCAATTGCATAATATAAAAAAGAATCTATAGTTTGCTTTATGTGATTCTTCTTTCGTAAAAACTTTCCAGGTTTAGTTTCACTATAGCTTTAAATTTTTTTATTTTATTTAGGATAGTTTCCATTGTAGTACTGTGTTATTTGGGAAAATATTTAGAGTACTGTATTTTATAATAAAACAATGCTTTAGCTACTATATATTTTTCAAACTCCCAGGCATTTTTATAGTGAATAAATCATTTTATTGATGATTATTAATCGCGATACAAGTTACATGTATTTGAAAATATAGATAATGCAATATCAATATGGCTTAACGTCTTTGTATATCGTATATTCATATTATAGCATTCTATTCGGAGAGAGAATCTTACATCCAATACTTTTCAACTAATTCATCTTCAAGTTTTATTAAACCAATTATGCTTTGGCGTCGAGTTTTGTCCGCATCGCTTCTTGCGCGAGCTATTAGAAATAGCATGATGTTGATATGCTTTCAATAGCCGCTCAGTCTCGAAAATTTCTAGTGGATGAATTAATAAGCCGATAATGTTTTGCGGGATTAATTCCAAATTGATATGTGGAAGCAATTGTCCAATTTTATCGAGCAAGGAAGTTCTTAAGCTATGGAATTTCAATTCATCAAAAGCATCCTTCTCGCAGAATTTATCAACCGACGTCGAGGAAGGTAATAATCTGGAAAACGTTGCCAATGCTTCCGAAGAAATTTTGTTTGCTCCCCATAATACCACGTAGCGAAACAAATCATATTCGTCGGTAGCAAAGTATTCATCTTTGTCAAGAGCTTGAGACAAAAGTACATACAACATGTCGAAAGACACTATTTCAAATTGAATCGTGCTAATTTGGATGCTAATCATTTTTTTATAAATGCTCTTGATTAAAGAATTGTTTTTATCTAAATTCTTTTTTCCGTTTTTAACGATTATCGACGAAAAAAGATCAACGACATTTTGATTTTGAATATCGATAGCGTCTTTTTTACTGTCAAGCATATTTTTAACAAAGTTGCGAACAATGTTCTCCAAAGTGGGCAAAAGCAGATATTTTGCCGCGTAAAATATGTCTATTGAATTTTTTGCATTTAGTTTGTCGTTGCTGACCTCTCCCACATAAAGGTATTCCAATACAATTGCCATAGTAATTGATGATATTTCAGGAAACGATATCGATATCACAGGTGTATTGGTTTCACGCATTCCATTATAACGATAAGGATAAAGCATTCTGTTGAATTCTTGACAACGAGCGGCCAAAAGAATACGACATCCAAGCAGAATTTTTCTATCCGAACATTTGATTTGGATATCACTATATTCTTGACTAAATAAAATTGACTTTAAGTCTTCTGTTAGAGAACTGCCGCGCGTCATTTTTTGGCAAAAGGGATATTGGGTGGTAGTGATGTGGTGATTTATGTTTTTATATAATTATATGTCATAGCTATATATCATGAGAAAAAATGTACATAACGCATTTATGGAGGGTGTGAATTTGGCTTTCTTATATCGAGTCGCGTGATGTTTCATACCCTTTCTTCATCAAAGCATAAATGGCCCAATTCTGACGTGCAGTTCTAAGCTTGTTTTGAATTCACGAAAAGCAATTATTCTCGTGAGAACCAAATAAGGGAATGCCAGTACGTACTTGTTCTTTAGATCTAGGCATTCACACGTTTCAAGCATGAGATTTATCTCACCCATAGTTACGCACCCAACCAGAAGCCCATCCATTATCTCTTGCTCTTGATGACCTTTTGTTCAAGCACCCGGTCGAACGTGAAATTTTGTGTGGCATGTTCAGATAAAAATGTGTCGCTGCATCCACAGAAATGTACAAGATTTTTTAGATAAAGTATAGATATTCATACATTACGTAATGTTTCCAATTACAGTTATATTTGGAACAAGTCTTTATATAAGCGCAATCTTATATAAGCACAACCTTTTATAAAAACATTTTTGCAAAGTTTTATGGCACGATAAAGAGAAGACTGTTTGATATGCGTAGTATAACCTTTATTTTGAAAAAGCTAATAAATAAAATAATATGATAATACAGTATACGTACATGTACTTGAAATAATTTTTCACAAGACAGTTGTGGAAATATAAGTTCGATTCTATATATTTTTAATCTAATTATCACTGCGATTAATACGAATATGAAATAATAAATTTAATTTCGAATTATTTTCTCTTCAGACCACCACGCGGAATTCACGAGATTGCCCTTTTTCCAGGTATTTTTGGCGCGTACAGCGGTATTTAAAGGTTCATTAGCAGTGATATTGTTCGTTGATGTAGCAGCCGTTGCACTAGAAGACGAACCATTTTCATGATTTAAAAGTTTTCGACCTTTTTGCTTTTGATTAACATTCTTATTATGATTATTTGCGTTTGTTTGACGTGAATTTTTACGGCTGTGGTTTCGAGAACCAGACTTGCTTTTTCTTCCATTGACTGGCGTTTGTGGATTTACTTTAACTGCAGGATTAGTTTCGGATAATAGTTGATCCTTCCGTTCGTCAATAACAGGATTTGCGTCAGCAGTATTGATAGATGGGATAGCATCACCTTGTGTAGTGGGAAGGAAATTGTTAACAAAAGGAGTTTGGGAATTAATTGTGGGAATAACCATAGCGATAGCTTCTGATTGCACATTATTACTAATGTTGTTGTTATTTGGCAAATAGTTATAACTGACAGGTTGTTGTGAAACAATCGGTGTTTGCTGAGTAAAAGTAGTTTGTGATATCGGCGGTGGAAGAGAATTATAATTGTTAATGTGGGATAGCGATGGGAAAAAGGTAGTCGGGTGTTGTTGCTGTGGTTGTTGAAGAGATGTAAGACGCAAAATTTCGGCCTTCAACTGCAGTTTTTCTGCTTCGACGCGGCGCAAATCTGTTTGTAAAAGCGACTTATCATTTGATAGTTCGGATAATTCACTACGTAAACGGTTTGCCTCTATCTCTGTATTTTTAAGATTGTTAATCTTTTCTAACATTTTTGCTTTTTCTTTATCCGCTTCACGTAATTTATCAAGTTCCGTTTTTATCCTGGTCTTTTCGCCGTCCAATTCACCGCGTAGCCGCTTGTTTTCGTTCTGCAATTGTGACTTTTCGCTTTCCAAATTTGGAATTTTGTTGTTTTCTCGTTGAAGTCGTGATTTTTGGGTTTCTGCATCTTTTAATTTTGAGTGCACTTCATTTAATTCCGAGCGAACTTTGCTCAATTCCGCAGTTTTAGTCTCTAAATTTTCGACTTTATCACGCAAACGCTTCAAATCTACATCAGTTTTCGTCAACTGTTGTCGTAAATTATTCTTTTCGGTTTCGGTAATTCTTAATTTATCAGTTTCTTGTTTAATGCGTCGGGCAACATCAAAGTTTTTATTTCGTTCAGTGTTCAAGTCTTCCTCCAGCTCTTTATTGTGTTTCCTAACCAATTCGAGTTCAGATCGTGATTGATCACACACCATTTCAAGATTTTCGATACGTTTTTTGTTTTCTTTGGATTCTTTCTCGATATTCTCCAACTCAGACTGCTGATCAGAATATAGTTTTCTCAATTTTTCAACTTCTTCAGTGTTCGGTTCTACCCTCTGACACATCAATTCTAATTCTAACTTAACGGCTTCTTCCTCCATATGTTTTATAAGAGGATCAAAATTGCTCAGTTGAACTTCCATTTCCCGATTCCGTTTAGAAGATCTCGCAAGTTTTGCTTCGAGTGCAGAGTTTTGATCTCGTAGTTGTATAATTTCTTTTTGAGAAGACTCATTGTCGCGGATCCGATCCTTTTCGATTTCCTTGTTTTTATCTAAAGTTAATTGCAACTCACGAATTTTATTTTCCAATTCTTGGCATTTCGCTCGGTGTGCTTCTTCTTTAACCATCCACGAATAATTCTTCTCATGTATTTCTTTTTGCTGAGCGCGTTCTGTCTCTTTCCATTTCGCTTCTTTGCTAAGCCATAATTCCTCTTCCATAAGCAAAGTTTGATTTTCTTGTGTTAGAGTATGGCACTTGTCATTAAGTTTCATTATCTTATCTTCGTATTCGCGGTTCAGATTAAGCATTTCGTCACGAGCCTGGTTTAAGTCATTTTCCAATGATAAATAGGCGGTGGATGAATCCTTCCGTTGTAGCTCCACGGAAAACTCGGTCCCGAGATTTGTCAGCTCTTGCTGCTGTAATAGTTCTAATTTGTTTCTCTGATTCTCTTCAGACAGTTTTGCATTTTCACTGACCAACTCGACATTCTCGCGTCGAAATTGGTTTAATTCGTTTTCTACCGTGTGTAGTTTATTTTGTAGTTCTTGATAACGCAGCAAGTATGATTGCAACTGATTTTGTGATTGCTTGTGTTCGTTTTGTAAATCTTTGAATTGTGAATTCAACTCGCTATAATCAATTAACTGTTTTTGAATCTGATAAAAAGTTTCTTGAAGAGCTTCATGTTGATTTTGTAGCTTGTTATGTCTGTCTAGGATATTTGTGGTATTCTGAAGTTCATGTTGATTTTTTAGATTTTTGGCTTCCCGTTTGGTCAAATGCTCTTTTATTACGTGGGTTAATTCGTCTCGTATTTTTTCAAATCTTGCCTCTTCCACATTGATCCACTCGTGTTCTTTGCGTTTTTCATCGTAAGAACTTGGTAACACATTCTGCAATTTATTTATTTCGTGCGACAGTGACTCCTTGACATCCGAAAAAAATTTCGACAATCGATGTTCCATGTCACTTTCAACCCGCGCAGCTACTTCACTCGAAATTTTCGCAAAAAACGCATCCGAATTTTGTGCAGTAGGTTCAACAAATGGAACCGGGGCAGCGATAGTGGTTTGAAAATTATTTGATGCGAAACCGTATTGAGCTGTATTTTTGTTACTACTGTTGGTTAGTGATTGATCCATTGGCATTTTGCCCTTCGTTTCTTGAAAACGCTGTAAATTGAGAACAAGATTATTTTTGCGAATATGCTCAATCGAATCCAAATTCATTGATGCATATAATCAATACCTTAACTTTGCTTTTTAAATTACTATCGACAGATTTCTTCATCCCCTCAGGATCACTATACCATCCGTTTTCAAACTTGCTTTCTGAGAAATGCGTAGGATTGAACGCCTTCGCGAAAGCATTTAAATTGCTCTTTCGCCGACGGGGCTTTTCCTTTTCCTTTTCTTCGTCTTCTTCACTTTCCTCATCACTTTCATTCTCTTTGTTCTCGTTGTTGAGCGTCTCCCTTTTCAATGTATAAGTTTTACTACTAAGGTTATCATCAATATTATTATTAACAATATTATGCTCAATATTATTATTAGCAATATTATGATCAATATTATTATGGATATTATTATCAGCTGTGTCTATTGAAGTTTCTATGATGTCTTGCGATGGTGGCATCTTTGATGTAGATAAAGGAAATAATGAATTTATTATTGTGAATGATGATAATGAAAAATCTTTAGTTTTTGATGGCGCAGATAATTCGTTCTTGTCTCGTGGTGATGGTGATGAAGCAGATAATTCGTTCTTGTCTCGTAATGGGAATTCGAATTGATTGTTTAGTACACCGCGATTCGAACCGCGAGATTGAGAAGCGGCAGTTGTCAATGTTTGTTCATTTCCTCGTACAAAAGATTTTTGGAATACCTCAAGTTCTTCTTGATTGACCTCCGGTCTTACAGTCTAAATTGTGTAAATATAATTTGAGTTTCTAGTAATATTACGATTCATATTTTCACATAATTTATCTATTCACCCACACCCAAACCAATTATCAATAAAAAGGAAACTAAAGAATAATACCGGTCCTTTGCCAGTCAAAGTATCAAGAGATTTGGCGATATGTTGTTCTTTCTTATTATCATTACTCGGATATTTCACAACGCATTTACTCTTATCCTCGTCGGCATACGGCAGGATTTGATAAACATCGGGTTTTGTTGTCAACTCGCGTAGCTGTTCCTAGAGTTAACACAGACATAATCATGAAATCGCTGGAAATTTATTCACTGCAAATAAAATTCGATGTATGCCAAAAAAACTCACTTCTTGCTCCATGTGTTGTTCTGCCCTCGCTTCAACTTCTACCTTTTTCTCACCACTCATCAACTTGTCAACTGCGATCGATCCAGCAGCCGGAAGTTTAACCACTTGAGGATCAGTCATTTTTGGTATTTTCATCGACTTTCTCTTTAATTTTGTTGACAAAGACATCTTTAATTTGGTAGTTGGCAAAGACATCTTTATTTTTTTTTTAGTGTTGATATTAATACAGATATTGTGATAATTTCGATGGGTTGTTTTAGTTATTAGATGTTCTTTTGAACTACTACAGTTAATCTGTATGCGAGAATAATGCACGGAAAGATATAACTAATGCTAATGCTGTTAGTTATTCATTATCATATTTACTTTACAAAAAACGATGTTTCTTATCGTTATCGTTATCGTTATACGTATTTTGGTGTATCGACAAGGAAACAACTAATGTACATGTACATGTACATTCAATGCGTACTGACACCCATTAATGTATTGGTATCGGTATGGCACAAGCGTGCTTTTTTTTGGTGCAACCATTTCATTATTTACCTACCTTTTTTACAGGGTATGCGTATAAAACCTGTTACTCCTTCACGAATCACGTGCATCACGAAATGTAAAAATTAACGATGTAAATGATTACATTTTATCAATGCAATACAAATGGTTTATTTTTTCATCTTAAACAAAACAATTGCATTAAAAAAATGGCCGAAGTCTTGGAAATTAATTTCGAAAAAAGACGACTACTCGGCGAACTTCATCTCCCGTCGAAACCTGACATGGAAATCTGTGTTTTTGTTTATGGATCTGGTTCGTTGAGGTTTAGTCCCAAGGGACTTGATTTTTATTTATAAAAAAGCATTATTATTTTTATTATTTTACAAATAATCTCAAAACATTAATTAAGTATCATATCATATAATGTTTTACCACCTTCTCGTCTTAATCACTATGCAATAGATATTTAGCCCAAGTTCTTCGATCTCAAGGTGTTGGCACATACTTGCTTAATCTTTTGACTTCGGACGAAAAAGAAATCGATAGCCTTACAAAACAACTTCAATATGATTGGTATCATACTTGTATTTTAATGATATATATATAATGTATCTGAATAAAAATATATACTATTAAAAATTTAAAATAATTGTTAGCAAATAGAGTTGTCGCTGTTATCGATCATTTCGCAAAAGACGAGAGAGCAGCAAAGATGCCAATAGGGTTGTTTGTGTGAGTGTATATTTGTTTTTGTTACGAATTTATTATAGATATTAACGGTTTATATATGTGTATTAACATAACTTCGATCGGAGCGTAAATATACTACATAATGAAATTCAGCGGTCCTATATGCAGTTCACCAATACTAGGTATTTCGCGTGGCGGCAAACCAGACTAGTCCTGCCCGACATTCTCACCACCCACTTTATTAATTGTTGGCGGAAACGATCCACAGGTCCTTGTGGTGAATCGTAAAGCACAAGAAGCACTTGGAAGTAAAGTCCCGAGAGCTACGTATCTGTTTGAGAAGCCAGGTATTTTCTTCTTTTTATTAGTATATTAATTCTTGCGAAGGATTTAATTCTAATATTTTCTTGATTTTTTTACGTGTGAAAGGTGTCGTGAGCAAGTCGCTAATTTGGCTGCCAAATGGATAAAAGACTATTTGAAATATCAGCCAATGAACTAATGGAATCAGGATAAATTATTAAATATCATACACCATTGAGAGATTGATTCGTTCCAACTTGAGTATTTTGAACTTGAAATCAAATTTTCCTAAATTCGGTGTGCTATGTCTTTATGATAAAATTATAATGAAACAACCAATTAAAAGACAAAAAAGAAAGTCTATGAATAAAAAATAAAGGTTTTTGTTTCCCCTAAACAGGACCGATCAATCATTATACGTACGTATGGACTGAACAAGTGTGTCCATTAGAGAGTGCCATCGTGCATGCATTTATGGAGGTTTCATTTAGAATGTTGACTATTTTTTTTATACACGTATGTACGAGGTTTTAAAAATGGTACATGTAATATGCGATGGAGTCAATAGAAACTAAGCAATCATTAAATGTTTAGATATTTTATATTACGGAAAAAACTTTGAAATACAATATCTCAATACGTATCTGTTTTATCGTTTAGTTGATAAAAACTTATTTTTGAAAAAAATTTGATTTGCTTGGTTTCTAATATAAACTTGCTATTAGTTAAAAATATAATTTAATTTTTTGTAAAATTAAAAATGTTACTAAATTATTAAGGTATTACAATAAAATAGTGAACTACATGTATAAGCTTTTTTTTTTCTTAAAAAGAATATCAAGCTGTTGTGAAAATGGCGTTTTTCTATGTACGACTCTCTTTTAGATAGCAGTGACCATCAAAATTTATCGCTTATTCAATAAAACAACCAAAAATGCTTCATTATCATAGTTCTTTATCTTCTTACTATATATCGATATACGTAATCAAATTGTAGATTTAACTTGATGTTGCAGCATAATTACAAGTTTGGCACATATGTAATTGTAAAAATCTATGCCCACTAAAAAATGCATACAATAAACCTCCATAAATGCACCCCTATAAGCGTGCATTTAGAAATAGGGTTAAAGACTAGGTACCAAAGCTCTATGAATCTGAATGTGGACAAATAATGATAACGGCAATTCATTCGATTCAACAATCGTTTTTACCATTTTATCAAAGGGCCATTTAAAGATAATTCATAGTTGTTTGTAACTGAATTAATGGAACGGGTGTATAAATATACAATTATCAATGTTCTAGTTACCAAGTCGAAATATTGCACCACATTTACATTTAAAGTATTATTCATACTCACAAGTGACGAATTCTGGAAAATCATTGTAAATATGATCCTTGCCTTGAAATTTGATCGGCAATCAATTCCTTAATTGTCAATTTCTTTTTCTATAAAAAAGTGAACAATCCAAAGCAGCGAATTTCACATTCAAAAAGACCGCACATTTCAATAAAGACCACATCTCTGAGCAATTTAGTCTAAATGAATAAACAAACCTCTCATATGTTTTTCTTGGTTACTCTGATCTTCATCTTTGTATCCTCTTCATCGGCCAATGCCATACCAAAGGGGATTGAAAAGAGATTTCCATGTCCTCAGTTAGTCGACGTTTGCACATTTGTACCTAACACCTTAGACTCGGAGATTGGAGGTGACATTAAATTTCAGCAAAATGTCGATTGCTCTGTGACAATCTTCGGTGTACTCAATTTTCTACCTAGTGATCTTGATACGATCAATTACCAAGTTCACATAATTCAATCTAGATCTATAATCGAGCCAATCGTCGAATTGGACGTATTTCTCACACCCCAAATTAACGCACCTTTTATAACTACTGTTACTCCTTATTTAATAGATAAAAGAGATAATTTACATCTCAACTTTTTAGATCTCGACAATTATATATGTGCAGTGAGTCATAGTGGTGTAATTCTTGGAACTGCCCCGATCGACACGGCCCCTTAACTAGATCTTTATTTATACCGTCTACTTTGCTTAAAGCATATATTATAAAAGGCTTATTTTGATTGCCTTTTCAAATTTTAACATTTCTTCTTTTTAACAAGTACCATTTTGGCGTGTTCAGCTTGAGTTTTATTTTTTGCTCTTTCTTCATTAGGAAAACTTTTTACAGAGTACAAAATTAGTATATTTATTATGACTAAAAAGCCAACTCGATTCTGTATAAGTCTAGCAAAAATTACAATGATGTGACAAATAATAAAAAAAATGATCATTTTGTGTGCTGCTAATTTTGGAAGGGTAGGGGTATTTTGGCGAAGTAAAGAAATATGCAATACGTACGTATCTCGATATCCAGCGATCGGTATCACATGAAAATACCACTACTTGATTCTTCATGTCTAAGCGAATCAAATGGTATTTTCATGTGATTCCGATCACTGGATATCGAGATATCGCCTTGAAACTCACTGTATGTTAGATATTCGCTAATTTATGTTAAATTTTGGCATATGGGAATGATATCTCGATACCCTGCGATCGAGATCGCATGAAATTATTACCATTCGATTCGTCTAGACATGGCGAATCGAATGATCATATTTTCATGCGATTTCGATCGCAGGGTATCGAGATATCGCCCTTTAAATTGGCGAAAATAATGAATTTCAGTGCGATATCTCGATAACTAGCGAACTGAATCGCATGAAATACCACCATTCGATTCGTCTAGGCATGACAAATCGAATGATTGTATTTTCATGCGATCCTGACCACTAGTTATCGAGGTATCGTTACTTCGCCTTTTACCTTATGTTCAAATTGTACTTTATCGTTAATAACTGAATAAAGTTTGTTGTTTCGATATTGCAAATGGGAATATATTTTAATCAAAACTTACAAATTTCAAATTAACAGTTTTATCTTTGAAGCACACAATTGTTTAAAAAATTTGTTAATTTGACAAAAAAGTTATTTAATATTGCATTATGTTTTACACTAATAGCAAGTTATTACAATGGTTTTTTCTTAAATCATAAATATATTACAAAAAATCTGATTATTTATAGAACACATTAGATGTATATAAATTATTAATAAATCTAATATTATACAATGGCAATCAAAGAAATAAAAAAAATATTTATTAATAAATTGAAAAAACTGAATTTTTATATATTAATTATTAAATTTATAAGTTATTATATATATATTGTTACGGTAGTAACATAAAAGTCGTTAATTCCAAAAAATAGTTGAAAAACATAAAAATATTCGTGTAATAGCAAAAACCTCTCAAATCATTTTACTTTTTACTTATTAT